ACTCTATTGTGAAATTATCCCCATGGTGTTGTCTCTTCAAAGCACATCATAATATTAATATTCCATGATGTGAATATACTCAAGCTTATTTGGCTAGTAATATACTGGTGCACATTTAGGACTTTCTTGTTCATCTTACGATTATTTTCTTAATAATGATTTCTGGAATTTGAATGAACTCCAAGAACTTAAACATTCTTAAGGCTTTTGAAATATATTTTCAAATTGTCCTTTGGAAATACTGCAACTATATGTACTTCCATTGGTAACAGACTATGATAGTGCCTTTTTATAGCTTTGGACCAGCAGATCAGTACAATTTAGTGATCAAGGCTAAACCTGAATTGAGAAGCAAATCGTGATATTTTATTGTTATAGTAATTTGCACTTTATATCAAGTGAGGTTATTTGTCCCTTTATTAAAATTATGTTTAGTTTCACTTGTAATATTTTAGGCAATTTAGATATATTTATATTTTATTTATCCACTCACTAATATTTTCCTTTATGGTTTCTTCTTTGGGGATATGCATTGAAAGACCTCCTGGTCTGGAGATGATAGAACATGTAAATCTGTATTTTATTCTTTATTATTGCTTGATTTTTAAATATTTATATTTAACTCTTTAATCAAAATTAAGTAATTTTGTATTTGTGTTAAGAGTTTTACTTCAAATATTAACCAGTTGTTTTTGTTTTAGCTCCATCATAATCCATTTCCTGGTGAATTGAAAGGTACTTTTATCATATGCAAACTTTCACATATTCCAAGGTTTTGGTGCTTTCTGCATTCTTCCCTTGATCTGCTGCCATATTTTGCATCAGTACCATAACAGCAAATTATTGTAAATGTGTAAGATCTTTTGCCTATTTGTAAAGGAAAACCCTCATTATTTTTACTCTTTATTCCAAAATTATTCTGGGATATTTTTGCCATGTATTCTTCTAAAGTGGATTTAGTTTGCCAAGTCTGAAAATCCCCATTGCTGTTTTGATTTCTACGCTTTTATAGACTGATATGAGGAGAATTGATATTGCATGCTTTTGGTCACTGCTTTCCCAGAATTCAGCATATTTCTTCATTTATTTAAATTTTACCTGTTATCTCTTGGTAAAGTCCTGGGATTTATCATATAACCCTTAGAGTACTTACTATTAATTCCATTCCTAAATATTTTAGTGTTGTGTTGCTATTGTGAATGGAATTTTTATTATACTTAATTTATTTTGCTGGTTCATAGAAAGAAAATTGATTTTTGTATATTTAATTTGTTACCTGTCTACTTACTCAATTCTTGCCTTATATCTAATAGATTTTCTGTTTCAGTTGATTCCTTTGGTTTGTTTTAGTACATAATCAGTTTTCAAATAATAATGTGATTCCTTCTTTCCATATGTATGACTCATTTTTCCTTATCTTATTGAATTGTTTGGAACCTGCCAAATGATAGTAAATGACAGTAGTGAGAGTATACCATAGTTTTAGTAAGGATTGGGTATGCCAAGTATAATTTTGACTTTTGGTTTTATATAGGCATTTGATATTATTATTGATAATAATAAATACTTGTATAATGTGAAATGAGCCACGTACTAAATTACATTTTTATATATGTTAACTCACTGAATTATCTCAGCAGCTCCATGAGATAGATAGTGGTATTATTATTATTATTATTATTCCCACTCTACAGATAAGACAATTAGGCACTGATAGGTCAAATGATTTCCCCGATGGCCATACAGTTAGCACAGCACTGAGATTGAGGCCTTAGCAATCTGGGCTCCAGGCCTGTGTTTACACCTACCATGCCATGCTGCCCTCTCAGGTTTAGTAAGTGCCTTGTGGGCTCATATACTAAGACTTGTATTAGAAATGGATGCATACAGAAGGTCCTGGTTTTTTTTTTGTTGTTGTTGTTCTCTTTTCTCTTCTGCCTTTTGATCTCTATGTGTTAACATTTCTGTTAGTAGATTTCCTAATAAAACCAACCCCATGTCATTCTTAGAAAAATACTCTCTAGGCCATGCTGTATAATTAATTATTTGTCTTGCTGCTTTATTTATGTGCTATAATGATCAGTTTTTTGGTTTTAGGGTTATGCTAATATTTTCCCACTTTTTATTGAGTTATAATTGGCATATAACATTACATTAGTTTCAGCTGTACAACATAGTGATCTGATAAATGTATATATTGAGAAATAATCATCATGTTTTGTTAATATTCATCACCACACATAGTTACAACTTTTTTTGTGATGAGAACCTTTAAGATTTACTACCTTAGCAACTTTCAAATATATGATACCGTATTATTAACTATAGTCACTATGCTGCACATTACATCCCCAGGACTTATTTTACAGTTGTAAGTTTGTAACTTTTGACCACCTTCACCCATTTTGCCCACCTTCCACCTGCCCACCTGTAGCAACCACCAATATGTTCTCTGTATCAATGTTTGTTTTTTTCAGATTCCACATATAAGTAAGATCATACAGTGTTTGTCTTTCTCTGATTTATTTCACTTAGCGTAATGTGCTCAAGGTCTATCCATGTTGTTGCAAATGGCAGGATTTCCTTCTGTTTTATGGTTGACTACTATCCTAATATATCTATCTATATGTATACCTTTATCTATATCACATTTTCTTTATCAATTCGTTCATTGATAGATACTTAGGTTGTTTTCATGTATTGGTTATTATAAAAGGGTTACAACAATATTTTAAAAGAAATTCTGAAATTTTCCTTCTCAATGTGTGGTCTGTGTTTAATTCTTTCTCTTCCTTGGGTTTATCTTCCTAAGGCCCTCACACTTAAACAACATTTTTCAGTCACAGTATTTTCTCCTCAATTCTGTATGTTGTTGCTTCATTGTCCTTGGTATTTAGTGGTGTGAGCAAATTTTACTATTTAATTTTGATTATTTATAGGGATCTTTATACTTTTTTTGTTCCTTTTCATTAATTATAACACATGTATTTGATGAGCTTGTTTGATCTGCAGACTCAGATTTTTTTTTTAATGTAAGGAATTTCTTTCTTCTCTTCTTCATGCTTTTTTCTCTCTTTTTCTTTTTCTTGACTTCTGTTATGACTCCCATACTACCTAGTCTGAAAGTCCAAGAAAGTCCAAGATCAAGTGCCTGAATCTGTTCTACAGTTCTTATTTATATATTTAACTTGTCTTGTTTATCTAGTTTTCCCTTGAGATATTGGAAAATTTCTCAAAGCTGTCCTATACAAAATGAATTTTATTTTCTGCATCAAACAGTTTGTTAACTCTTTCCAATGTCTTTTAACTTAGACATTGTACTTTCCATCTCAATAGTACAATTTCTTCTGTGCTCTTATTCTCTCATCATGCCTTTTGCTACACTTTCACCAATGCAATATACTCTTGATTCTTTCCAAGAATATAAACAAGAAATGTCCCAGATTTTTCTCATTTCTGGTAGTAAATGTACTTGTTTGGTGTCCTTTGAGTGCCACCCTTTTTAACTGCAGTATTTCTACATAGGTGTAACGTCTTCCCTCTGTGTATGTTTATAGAGGGTGTTCAATGAAGCCTAGTTTTGTTAAAAAGATAGGCTTTGCCAGACATTGTTGTAGGTCTTTGGGGCAGATATTAATCCCTATCCACTTATAACTTGAGTTTTCGGACACAAAGAGAGGCCCATGCAAGATGTGAGGACTAATTGAAGACTTAATCACACAAAGCCAGAACCTCCAAAAATGACATTTGCAGTCAGTAAACTAGTGAAACCACAATCTGTGAAGCAAGTAAGTGGGTTTGCCTGACTGTCTTGGCCATTGCTTCGGGTAGAGCAGGAAAAAAATGGAAAAGTCTTTATTCATAATTTCTCAACACAAACCCTCCTTCAAGCAGATTTGGAGTCATATTTCAATGGTACAGTGTAGCCCAAAAGGCCTCAAGCCAAAACCTCAGCCTATAATGGTCCTTGATTTGTTGTCCCCAAGTGCCCAGGGGAGGAAAACACAAGTTCTTTCTGGAGGCAAGAGCATTAAAATCAATCCACAAAGACTTTCTTTGAATGAAAAGAAATATAAATTTAGAAATTTTGAAAAATCATAAAATATTTGAGCAAACAAGCCTACATTATTGACATTAAACAGAAAAATCAAACCAACAAATGATGCACGCAAAGACTATATTCAAGAATAATCAGGTAGAGAATATAAATAACTGTGTTTTTAGTGTTTTAGAGACAGTTTTTGAGATGGATGAGTTAAAGAGACGGTTCAATGAAGCTGGAGAGAGAATTATTAAAGTGGAATATTTATATAAAGTATTCAGAATCACAGTGATAGAAAGAAATAAAAATATGAAAGTAGAGCTAAGAGTTATTGAGGAGATAGGGAATGGGGTTGATAAATTATTACAGGAGATAATGGGTGACACTTTTCTAGAACTAATGAAAGACACCAATCTTTAGTGTCACTGAATTACACAAAAGAAATAAATCTAAATATACTTCAGAATATAAAAGATAAAGAGAAGATCTTACAACTGCTAAATGGAATTACAATAGTTTATTGGCATACTACATACAGCTTTTTAAACATTTTTCTAGGGAGCGATAACTTTAAAAAGTATTTCTTACATGGATGTTTTATTGATATTATAGAGCCCCCTCCCCCAAATGTTTGTGTAATATTGGCAAATCATAGCAATGGTGTCTGAAAGTGTATGTGAGGTTTTTTTTTTAATGGCTTTTTTTAAACTTTTTATTTCATATTGGAGTGTAGCTGATTAACAATGTTGTGTTAGTTTCAGGTGTACAGCAAAGTGATCCAGTTACACATATTCATGTATCTGTTCTTTTTCAAATTCTTTTCCCATTTAAGCTGTAACATAATATTGAGCAAAGTTCCCTGTGCTATACAGTAGGTCCTTGTTGATTATCTATTTTAAATACAGCAGTGTTTGCATGTCAATCCCAAACTCCCAATCTATCCCTTCCCCTGGTAAAATAAAATATGAAATGCTTCACGTATTTGCGTGTCATCCTTGTGCAGGGACCATGCTAATCTTCTCTGTATTGTTCCAATTTTAGTATATGTGCTGCCAAAGAGAGCGTGAGGAATTTTCATTTCTAAGTCTTCACCAGAAATCACATCATTTTGTGCTTTGGATTTTGCTTTTCACACCTATCATTAAATCATAAACATATTCCATATTGTTAAATTGTTGTATAATTATCATTTTAGTGACTTCATTATATGCCATAAAATTTATTCCATTATAATTTCCTTAGTCATTTTTTTCCTTATTAGATATTTAGACTTTTATTTCTCTCAAATTTTAATTATTATATATAACCTTGATATAATACACAGTTTGTACATATGGCTTCACTTTTATTTAGAATCAGTTCCTTAGGAAAAGTTCCCAGAAGTGATATTATCATGTCACATAGTCAATGTATTTTGATATGTGCCAGCTTTTATCATGAGTCAGCACTAAATATTACAAATCTGAATATATATATCTACCAATATGCTGGGTGTAAGAGGCATTTTTATTTAGGTAATAAGAACATTTTTCCATGTTTGTTTTTAAATTATCTTTCCTCTTTTGCTCACCAGTTATCAGTATTCATGCTTTATAAACTTATCTTTTGTGGATTCTGTGTATGTCTTACCAATATGTAATTTTCTGCAATAACATAAATATTAAAATAAGTGATTTTCTGTAATAACACAAATATTCTTCCCATATTAATATTTAAAAATTAAGTGAGGATGAGGTTGGTAGGCAACTTTGGGTTCAAATGTACTTATGAATTTGACTTATTTGGGGGTAGATTATCAAGAAAAGTTAATGTGTGTGTATATATATATAAAGAATTGTGCTAGTGAGTTTTGCTTACCAGTGTGATGAAAAGATAGGCACCTATACTTTCTGGCAGCATTGGTAACTGAATATTGATATGACAGACATTGTTGGCTCACCCAACGCTTGTTTCTAACACTCTTCTGTCTTACATGTCTTTATTAAAGAGGATGAACAAACTAAAATGTTCATTTACCAGACCATTGTAAAGCTGGAGTTTGCTTTATTATAATACACAGTTCTGGCCAATAAAGTGTAAGCAAGAGTATGCTGTCACCTCCTCCCCCCCACTTTCTCTTTCTCCCTCCTTGAATGATGATGTGCTGGCTGGAGCTACAGCAGCCATCTTGTAGTCATGTTGAGAAAACCAGGAGAATGGCAGATAAAGTGACCCTGATTTTGTTAGGACACTGAAATAATGCCATGAACTTCATACCCACCAAAACTTATAATATGCAGAAAATAAAGCTCTATTTATGTTTAAGCCACTATAGTCAGGCTTTCTGTCATCGGCTATGAAAAGCAAAGCCGAATTAACACAACTAAGCTGGGGGAGAGGAAAATTGGGTCTCTGTTTTATTAAGATGCACTTTTAAACTAACCCAAAGCCTTGCTGCTGTGAGTACATGGTAAGTGACCAAAGTATATAACAGAATTTCTAAATTTTATCCACCTGTTTCCCCAAACATATCCAGGGAGTGAATGCACCTCCTGGAGCAAAAATAAAATAAGAATTTAAAAAATGCTCATGACCTTTAACAATGGGAGAACATAATTTAAAGGCATTCCTCTATTCGTTACTCAGAGAAATGAAGTTTCACTTAAATACAATAAATATCCAGGAGATACTCTGTCCATGCCTTTCTATACCCACCGATTTATAATCATTACTTATCCCTTTTTAATATATGGACGACATGCCATATGACAGGCTGTTTATTCCATGCCAGGGATGTAAAAAAAACAGATACTGCTCAGTCCTTGCCTTTGAGGATTTCACTCCAGGCTGGGTGTGGGAGGTAAGAGGAGGCCGTTTGGATAAACAAATGTTTTTTTTTGTTTTTTTGTTTTTTTGTTTTTGTGGTACGCAGGCCTCTCACTGTTGTGGCCTCTCCCGTTGCGAAGCACAGGCTCCGGACGCGCAGGCTCAGCGGCCATAGCTCACGGGCCCAGCCGCTCCGCGGCATGTGGGATCCTCCCGGACCAGGGCACGAGCCCGTGTCCCCTGCATCAGCAGGCGGACTCTCAACCACTTAGCCACCAGGGAAGCTCCTGGATAAACAAATGTTTTTGATACTGTGTGAGAGTGAAAAGTATAGGGTACTCAAGTGAGATTGATAGTAGAGGGTGAAATAGAGTAAATGTTACCCAAGACCCCACAGCCAATACATGGTATAAGTTCCATGATTCAAGGTCTTCTAGAATAGTCATTTTATAATACCAACCATTGGCTGAAATAAACAGACCAGTATCGGAGATATGGGACTATTTTTGCATTATGAAAACACTATTATTTTGTCTGCTGTTGTACAGAAGTTGACTTGTATGAAGAAATTGCCCCTGACCTGGCAATATGGTGCGTGCTTTGAGATTTATTTCTGCCAGGACTCTTCCTTCTTTTGGACTGTTGTCTGTTCAGCTGGATGCTGGGGTAACACATGTAAGAGGAGGCCTCCTGCTTCTGACTGAGGAGGAGGGTGTGACCAAGACAGCCCTTCCAGAATGAAGAAAAGCAGCCAGGAAAATGGGCAGAGGAAAAGTATCAGCCCTCAGAGCTGTGGCACATGGAAAGAGACTGAGATTTTTCTGTCTCTGTAAAAAGTGCTCTTTTCCATTGACCTAAGGAAAATAACTTGTTAAACACGTCTTTCCCTTCCCACTGCCGTTGTTTATGGAACAACAGACTTCCCTTAACTCTGAAGTAATGTCTCCTTTCTTCAGGAAAACAGGTGTCCAAACATGCAGAAAATCACATTTTTAAACAGCTAAAACAAGCTGGGACAAAGTGAGAGAGTGGCATGGACATATATACACTACCAAACGTAAAATAGATAGCTAGTGGGAAGCAGCCGCATAGCACAGGGAGATCAGCTCGGTGCTTTGTGACCGCCTGGAGGGGTGGGATAGGGAGGGTGGGAGGGAGACGCAAGAGGGAGGAGGTATGGGGATATATGTATAGCTGATTCACTTTGTTATAAAGCAAAAACTAACACACCATTGTAAAGCAATAATACTCCAATAAAGATGTTAAAAAAACAAAAAATAAATTAAAATAAACTTGAGGACTTTACACATTTCTTTATCCTTTTACCTAGAAATTCTTTTGTGACGCTTACAGTTTCCCGGCTTGGAATTATTTTTGCCTTGGGATACTTTTGGCCAATCTTTTCAAATGTTTACTATCACATCCCTGTCTTCTTGATCACTGTTCTTTGGATGGAAAATCTATTTCTTAAAATATAATATTCAACAATTGATTCTTTTTCATTTAAGTCAAATGTACTTTATAAACATGAAGACCTCAGGACCACATTGAATTCTGTCATATTAAATATCTTTATAGGATGAACGAAAGAAAAATTGAGCTATTACTGATCAATATTGGGGGACTTTGAAATATTCCTATCATGACTTATCTAAGTATATAGAGGGAAGAATTATAATCCCTTTTATGAATGAGAAAATCAAGGCGAATGTTCATATATCTAAGATCACACAGTCAGAAAATAGTAAAATCAGGATTCAAATCCAATTTTTATCTAACTTCAAAAACCATGCACTTTCTACCTCACCATGTAATAGAGTTCCTCCTAGACTACATAAAGCTGTTTGTTGAGTAGTTAAGTCAGAAGTGATTTATGAGGCTCTATTATGTACTAGCTGGCAGGGCATGGATAAAGTATCAATTCTATGGGTCTAAATCTCCTTCTCTGTGGAATGGATACAGTAACAATATCTACCTCATAGGACTTTGTTAAGGATTCACTGAGTTAATGCATGTAAAAGGGCTCAGAACAGTACTGGACATAGTAAATGCTCAATAAAGTTGTTTGTTCATTGTTATTATTATCTGTTAACTTTGTGAATAATAGCATAGCATGAATGTCATGGCTTTGCTTTCATGTGTTATCTTAGTACAGCTGAATAGGTGGTTCTAAATAAATGGTAAATGAGTTTTTTTTTTAAGTTCTTAGTGTTTGTATGTGAGAGATCTCCCTCATTCTTCTCCGTTGGTTGGCAAATTTATGGGAGAAAAAGGGTATCTCTTAGTAATATTGTTTACAGACTTTGGTTTCAGCTGTGAAACCCTTTTGTAAAATACAGATAGAAGCACTGCTGCTTTATCTAAAGTGGGGGGAAGTGACTCCTGGATCTCCACGTACACCTCCTGCCCTCTAGTACCCCTACCCGGTCATTGCTGTCTTGGGAGTAATTCTGGGAAATCCTGAAGGTTGATGTAATGCAGACTGAGAACCACTAAGCCACAAATCCCACAACAAAACACATTGGGCAGTGACTGATAAATGCTATTAGTTCTTAATTTCTGTGATAGGCCTATGTCCAGGTGTCCTTCCTCTTAATCGCAGATTGTCTTCACTCGGTTTCCATCCTATACTCACTGTTGAGTGCTTTGTTTAACTGACAGGGTCTACAGTTTGGTACCAGTGAACTGGAGGAGATGGGATCTATGTTCTGCTTGGGCCTCCTCATCTTGGAACTCAAATCTGTAAGCTGCAGCCATCAGCTGCTGACCTGTGCAGCAGCTCTACTGAATGCTGAGGAGTCTTCTCTGGACCACCACCTCCAGCGGTAAGTCGCTCACTGTTTGAACCTTTGTGTTTCCGTTGGAGAATATCTGGGAAGTGAAAGTCATGTGGACCTATGGGTCTTTGACAGAGAGAAAATATGGAGAAGCTGCCAGATCAAGGTAGGGTAGTAGTGCTCCATTGGAACCAGACTTGGGGCATCCTTACTTCCTGCTGAAGACAAGGAGGATGTTGCTTACTTGTACATAAATGCACATATAAAGCTACATACATTTATAAATATGTATTTTTATTAAGTTTTGCTCATGGCAAAGAAGGTGCAGCTTAACGACACACGTGCACATTTACCTATGCTTATGTTTGCCAGTTATGTGTTTATATGTATGCTGATGTCACTTTGGAGTCATTAGTCAGCTAAAATCTGGCAATCTCGCTGCTAATATCCAGGCACTTGGGGACAAGAAATGTTTTAATCT